GCGATGCGAGACAGGCAGACAGCAGACAAGGCGCACAGGTTGAGGGTGATGTCAGACGCCTTGCAGAGGGAGCTCTTAGTCTCCTGAGGCAGGTCTGTTCCCTCCAGCCTCTGAGATGCTGTACGTCAGCGGCACAACGTTATTGTTCGCTGCGGCCGCCTGGAAAGCGTACTGGTGAGCTCGGTTGGAGAGCTACGTCACCATCTGGCCATGCTTCCCCAGAGGCGCAGGACGTTGGTCCAACCTGGACATCTTGCTCCGAGAGCCTCCGCCAGGCTTGGCTCCAGGGGGGTACCGAGGGAAATTCTGCTCAGTAAAACCCCTCCACTCTGGTGATGGGCGCAAATGTGGAATGTGGATGCGAAAAGGCCCGGGGGGGGGGGGGTGAGCATCCGCTCAGCCCCCCTTGTTCCAACATCTCCAGGAGGGAGTGATCAGTGGGGGCTGTTGCTGACGTCGCCTGTCCCGGAGGAACCATCCGATTCGCTCCGAGAGTCAGCTTTAAAAAGAAAAAAGGGTCGATGGCGTCATCCAGCGGGTAGCGACCCGCCACTGAAAAAATATTCCTCAGCGCTTACCTTGAAACGAGGGTGCTCGTCTGCTTCTCCTCGGGGAGGAAGAACTCACTGGGACGGCAGGAGGTTGGCGTGGTGGGGACCCAGGCAGCCTTAACAAAGGTTGTGCCGGTCAAGCTGGACAACTTTCCTTCTTTGTTCTTCTGACAGTGCTATTAGCTCGCTGAAGAAAAAATGGGAGCCGATTACCCACTCTTAACATAATTTATACGGACCAGGTGGGGCCCACACAACAGGTGGGCGTGGACTAAATTTTTTCAGTGCGATGCTTTGCATGACGGGATAAACCCACCAGCGACAGCCTTAAAGGTCGAAGCCTATACGAAATAGAACTGCTCTCACTCTGTCCTAAACACTTTGAAAGCAGTTGTGGTGTCACTCAAACTGGGTTCAGTTCTGCAAAACAAACAGACAAAAGTGTTAAAACATGTCAATAATTTCTTAATACTAATTACAAACAATAATCAACATTATTCATGTTTCTAATGTGTCATAATCAATCAAACAAGCTTAATTTAATGAACAAACTTAATTTTTGGACATTATCATTTATTGGACATTAGTGTCCAAAGAAAGTATAACATTTGGTGATCCTTCTCCTGTCTATTCAAACTGTGCAGTTTAAAAAAAAATCTGTTTAACTGTATGTAAAGAAAAACAAATAGATGTATCCACTCGTGCACATTCATGTACAAACCGGATTCCAAAAAAGTTGGGACACTAAACAAATTGTGAATAAAAACTGAATGCAATGATGTGGAGGTGCCAACATCTAATATTTTATTCAGAATAGAACACAAATCACAGATCCAAAGTTTAAACTGAGAGAATGTATCATTTTAAGGGAAAAATATGTTGTTTCCAAATTTCATGGCGTCAACAAATCCCAAAAAAGTTGGGACAAGTCCATTTTTACCACTGTGTGGCATCCCCCCTTCTTCTTACAATACTCAACAGACATCTGGGGACAGAGGAGACCAGTTTCACAAGTTTAGAAATAGGAATGCTCTCCCCATTCAAGTCTAATACAGGCCTCTAACTGTTCAATCGTCTTGGGCCATCTTTGTCGCACTTTCCTCTTTATGATGCGCCAAATGTTCTCTATAGGTGAAAGATCTGGACTGCAGGCTGGCTATTTCAGTACCCGGATCCTTCTCCTACGTAACCATGATGTTGTGATTGCTGCAGAATGTTGTCTGGCATTATCATGTTGAAAAATGCAGGGTCTTCCCTGAAAGAGATGACGTCTAGATGGGAGCATATGTTGTTCTAGAACCTGAACATAGTTCTCTGCATTAATGGTGCCTTTCCAGACATGCAAGCTGCCCATGCCACAAGCGCTCATGCAAC